TACAGATTAGTAGAAAGTGAGGAAAAGTACATGAGAAAAATAAAAAGCAAGAACACTCCCCTATCCAGGACCAGGGAAGTAAGTCTCACTTGTTGAAGCCACAGAAGTTCAGTGAACATTTGAAGCTGCTCACCAGAAGTAAAACATAGGGTTGGGGAAACAGAGGCCACAGACTTAGACCCAAGGGAATATTAACAGACCTGTAGCTACTCCCAGTCTATGGACAGGTCAATACATTTCAGAAGAAAGTGACTGCTTTAGTTACTTTCCTTGTTGTTGAGACAAAATGCCTAACATTCACAACTTAAAGGAAGAGAGGTTTATTTGGGCTGACACTTTAGAAGTTTCAGTCCTTACACAGTACCCAGCATGGTGAAAGGGACTTGGTGGGGAAAAGCTCCTCTTATCATGACAGTCAGGAAGCAGAAAGTCAAGGGAGAACCTGGGAAGGAACATGTACCTTTCCAAGTCACTCCTAAATGACCCGCCTCTTCTCACCAGATTCCCAGCTCCCAATAGCAAGTCAGCTATAATGCCCCATAATCTGTTTGACATTGAAACACATGAGGCTATGGGGGCTATTTTGAGCCTACACCATAACGTTCTGCCCCTGGCCCACTAAAGACTCATGCACATCTGTTTTTATAAAATGCATTTAGTCCATCTCTAAGAGTTACCAGAGTCCTAACAGTTTCAACACTGCTGAAAAGTATAAATCCAAAACCTCCTCCAAGATTTAAGGAAAACTCCTAGCTTTGAGCCCTTTAATAATCAAAAAGAAATTAAAAGATGCTGACATACAACAGCACAGCATAAGACTTTGCTTTCCAAAAGAGAAATAGAGGGACAGAAAGAAACCAGCATCCTCGGTGTATTTAATTTGATCACTGTGTGCAGCTTTCCTCAGCAGATATTCCACATTCCTGGCATCGCCAACTTCCTGGGGTATCCATTGTTCTTTTGACTTCACTTTCACAACTTCATACTCTCCCCTCTCAGAGGAACACTGACTGGCCTCCAGGTCTTCTTTTGAAATCTGGGTGGAATCCTCCCTGGTCCCACATTCTGCATGCCTATAAAATCAGCACCATGTGGAAAATGCCAAGATATGTTTCCAGCTCAAGCAGTAGCCAGGCCCTCTTGAATGGTAGCTGTGGGAGTCTCCAAGTGCCCAGACATCTGAGCACTATGAAACAACTCCAAGGGAACCAATTTCTTCGACCTGAACAGGATGCCTTGGAGGTCACTCTCAAAACAGTCTTTGACTTTTACAGGGCAAAAGGCAGAGTCTTGCTGTTCCCAGGATGCCCTGAGAGCATCTTTCCTTTTGTCCTAAATAAAAGTACTTGGCTTGTTTTTTTAACCTTTCAGCAATAACCATGCCTTGACCAAACCATTATAGGCCCTGATTTCCAGTATATTCATTTCTGATAACCTTCAAAGCACTTAAGATCACCTCACTGTGTCAGTTGCTCTTGATTCTTAATGAAAAATTGGCAGGCAGAACTCTTGCCATAGCCTCAACACTGGGTTTCCTTGAAATTTCCTCTGCCACATTACTGTGCAATGCTTACTCTCAGTCTTCTGCAAAGTATAAGAACATGAGCAAAATATAGGCAAATTTTTAACCAAAGTATGACACACCTGGACTAGAAAACAACTGCCAGTGAAGTCCTTGTTCACAATTGAAACCCCCTAACTCTGGATTTTTCCATTTGCTTTTTCATCAGCATACTGATCTTCTGATCTGTGACCAGAATGTCCCATCAAGGTTAACTCACAGCATTGTAGGGCTGTCTGTGCCATCTTCAAACCTTTCCAAATCTTTCCAAACTCATCCAATGAACCATTTCTAAAGACTTCTAAACCACAGGGTTAGGTAATCCCAGCAATGACCTCACCTCTCTGGTACAAAAATCTGTCTTAGTTATTTTCTTTTCAATATGACAAAGTATTTGACACCTGCAACTTAAATGAAGACAGGTTTACATAGGCTTAGGTTTTAGGAGTTTCATTTTTTGCATAGTTGGTAGCATGGTGGAAGAGCCTGCAGAGAGGAAAGCTACTCATGCCATGGAAGGCAGGAAATGGAGTATGTCAAGGGAAGAGCCAGGAAGAGAGATAAATCTTTCCAGATCATGTCCACAGTCACTCTCCTCTTCCAAGCAGACCTGAACTCCTAGCAATGAATCAGCTTCAATACTCCATAATCCATCACCTTCCAAACACATAAGGCTTTGTGTTGCAATTTTGGACCATCACAGGGACTAAATCACCTTAGATCACTCAGGATCTTTCAAGTCCTAGGAAAGAAACTCTTGCATCTTGGAATACTCTCATTCTTTGGAAGATGGTCACACTAGCCAGAAGTTAGAGAGGCAAATCATCCTGCTTCACCCAAAAACAGCATGACACAGAGAATCAGTAAGTTATACACGTTGTTGGAGTGTCAGGATTTAGCGCAAGTGCTGTAGCTTGCTGTGCATCTGGAAAATGTGCTTCCCTCCCAGAGTTTCAAGTCCATCACCTGGTTTGCTGAGGAGGTTCCACTGCTAAGGAGGTCCTTATGAGTCCATTCACCCAGTGTTACTGATAGCAGTGCCAAAAGGCACCACATCTTGGAGAAGATTTGGAGAAGAATTTGGAAAGATGAAAAAAGAGTCATATTTTTCACATTCTTTTCATCCCCTGGTTATTACAGGTCCCAAAGTAGAAACACTAGAGAAATAGAAAAGCTCTCTGCAGAAATATATGCATTTCCATAATATTATCATGGTGAAAAGTTGGCAGCAAACACCAGTGAAACAGAGGCATATGCTTAATAACGGAATGATGCATCCACTGCCAGAGCTCACAAACTGCACTCATGGGAATAATCAGGCAGATGCTTGCCACATGTTAAGTGGACACAGAAAAGCAAGAGACAAACTATCTACACCAGGATGGAAATGTGCAAATATGCTGCTGCAGAGAATGATAGTAGCAGAAAAGGAAATGATAGCTATAATAGCTGTTTTCACTACTAAGACTCATGGGTGAAATTGTCCTCATTTTTGTTCAGATTGCATACACAACTTTGATGTAACTTTCTCCCAAAATGCGATTAATAAATGAGAACACTTAAGTAATTGGCTTCATGGCCCCTGCTAAAATTAACACCACTCAGTTGTGTTCTGATTGATTCACAAGCTACCTAACAGCCTTGCCTGGCAGATGGATGTCTTGCTGCTCAGAAACTAACTGCATTGCACTGGTTTCCCAGCAATACAAGAATGCAGCCAGGAGTCCTGGTCTCTTGTTCAGTGTCATTTCACTACTACATTCACTGCATAAGTCCTCTATTGTGGCTTCAATGTTTCATAGACTGTAATTTTGGTTAATGTAGACAGGAAATTACCAAGAAATTCTTGAGTAATCACAGACATAACAAAAGGACATGCAACAAGTTAAAGAAGAAAAGGCAGTGAAACAATGATACTGAGATCAAGGTCAAATACAAAGATAGGGAAAGAAAAATATCTGTTGCAGATGCAGCCCATGTGGAACTCTTTTGCCATGGGGACCACTAGATTCTGCAAAGCACTGCTACTGCCACAATTATCCCCCACTGTACCTTCTTCTTGGCATCAACGCTCAGGGACCCAGGTTAAGGTTAGTGGCACCCACTTAGTGAAATTTTGTTCTTGCACATGTGTTACAGCTACTAGGAAGTACCTGCTTCCTGTGAGGAAAGCTAAG